CTTTGAGACATCTCTCACGCATTATGTCGCCTTGTTTCAGGTCTTCATCGTCGCCGCCGTGCTGGCTGTTGCCGCCGCCGCCCCGGCCCGGAGACGCCGGTGTACAAGCCCGCTCCGGCTCCCTACCACCCGGCCCCGGCGCCGTACAAGCCGGCCCCCTACCACCCGGCCCCGTCTTACAAGCCGGCCCCCTACCACCCGGAGCCCCAGTACAAGGAGGAGCCCAAGCCGTTCGCCTACGACTACGCTGTCAACGACCACTACACCGGCACCAACTTCGCCAAGAAGGAGGAGAGCGATGGCCACAACACCCAGGGATATTACTCGGTGGCTCTGCCCGACGGCCGCATCCAGCACGTCAAGTACGTCGCCGACCACTACGGTGGCTTCAACGCCGAGGTGACCTACGAGGGTGAGGCCCAGTACCCCGAGTACCACCCCGCCCCTGCCTACAAGCCCGCCCCCTACAAGCCTGCCCCTTACAAGCCTGCCCCTTACAAGCCCGCACCGGCTTACGCTCCCGCCTACAAGCCCAAGTACTAAGCAGTCCCATGTCTGAGAAGAATGTTAGTGTTGTGATATTTATCGTGAACGTCTGTACCTGTTGTACGTTGTAATAAAAGCCAGCGTGCTCACTTGACAGCCGGTTATCTGAGGTTGACTGGCGATGGAGCCCGCCCGTTGATCATGATAACGTTGAACCTTTCCGTACAGGCATGCAGAACGCACAGGTGCCGCGTGCATTTCACTTCCTAGAGCAGTCACCTGGCGGGCTAAGTGGTGTCATGGTCTCGATATCCTATGCAGCATTCTAACAAGTGATAGGCTGTGATTGCAGAGCCCGAGAGAGGGCTCCCGTACAGGGTAAGTCTCAGTAGCGGAAGACTCCCCAAAACATGTAGTCCTGTCCCCCACTCTGCAGTCTCGTTAGTCCCTTGGCCCTGCTGCGGCGGGCAGTGCCGGCCAAAAGAGCCTTAATGCAAACAAAATCAAGAGCTCTTCATCAGTGAAAAAAGGTGAAATAGCACTAGTCGGCAAAAGCTGAGATATCTGTCAACAAAAATTATCCGAGTCAAATGCAACCCTAGGCGTCTGCTCTCGTCGACCGAGAGCATTAAGCATCTAACCCCGGAGCTTTACCTGGAATATCTTTTGACTGACGCAAGGTATGATATTGAAATCGTCAGAATTCAAGTTTTCAACATCCTCACTTCATTGAAAAAATCGCGAAGGCAGCGCCTTTCTAGGGCGATTTAATGACGACCACTTGTGAGATTATCGACTGCATTTCGCATTCAGGTGTGAAATAATTTGAGTGTATTGAAAATATTCGTCATGAACTGCTGACATGCATCAATTTGCATCATCATGCTACAGTGCACGATGCAGCTCTTTTCATTTCAATTAGGTCGGGTTGTCCAAGGTGTAAGTGAGTCGAATGCGACGGGGTACTTGTGGTATTGCGGTTACGCTGCAGTCTCGGAAACCACGGGCAAGTGGTTCGACTCCCGTGGTTCTCACCCTTCCTGCTGGGGCGAGAGCCTGGCGACGCCATATAGCCCCAGTAGCTGAGTGGGTCGTAAAGCCCCAGTGACAAGAACAAGTCAAATGCGACGGATGAGAAAATATTTTCCTGAATAGTTGCCATTCCACGGCCAAACGGCTCACAGTCTCATTTGTTCCATTGTGGCACCACGCTTAGTCCGTGAAGTGTCGATGGTCGGACTTTTTGACACGAGACATGACCCGTTTGACCCAACGTGACAAGTCGAATGTCACTGCCACCGATGGTTTAGTATGGAGCATGAGCTCAGCGTGCCAAGAACAGCCGAACACTCGGTGGTGCACTCTAGGAATTTCCCAGAGTCCGCCATCTCCACTAGACGCGCGTGATCGAGCCGGAGGTGGCTGCTGCGGCGTCCGGGCTGACAGGCTGCGGCTCACTGATCCAGATGTAGGCTGATGACATGGGCGGTTTGCGCGAATGTCGAGACCTGGTCGAGATGCGCCTGCACAGCTCTCACTCGCTGATAACGCGTCCATGGACAAGCACGCATGACATTGCCACCGGTGTTGCTTGGCGGTGGCACCCCACAGTCAGAGAAAACAGCGCCAGCGTCGAGTTCAGGCGGAGAGCAAACTGATGGAAGGTGCCCACCTCCGCAGCGTTTCCAATCCCGACTTACCGCAGCACGCGCGGCAGGACTGGCAGCGGAATCAGTCGCACCTTACCTCTGACGCAGCACAGCCTCACGTCCACGCCCTCGCATCGCAGCGACGCCACAGAACGCACACAGTCGGCCCATGATACCAATGTCGTCATCATTCACCGCCTGTACCGCTTCCGGTCAGCCAGCACCGCTTCCGGTCGACGATTCTCGAGCGAAGGCGTCTGTCCACTAGCGACGAATCATCGCTACAGCTGGCTCCGAACATTCGCCTCCCCTCGGGGCTGCTGCTCCCGCTCCTGCGCGGCTCGCCGGGGGCGCAGCCGCTTGGAGTTAGCACACATCTTTGCAGGCCGCTCCCCCTCGCTGCGCGAACCTCTGAAGCTGTCACCGCTCCGTATCTTGCATCTGCCCCCCCCCCCTCCCCACCTCTCCCTGGCGTGGTAGCCCGGTAGCTCTCGCCGTTTCGCGCTCACGTCGGGCGCAACACAGGCCCATGTTTCTCTCCACCTCCACCGGGCGGTGTTCCTCGGCTAGGCGAAGCACAACGGCGACGCTGAGCGTCCGTCTGCCGTCTGCCGTCTGCCGTCATTTAACAGTGATACTAACTCTTTAACAGAGGTACTAACTCTTCACAAGAATTAAACACTCGCACCAGAAACGCTGGCATTGCATAGCGTCAAGCACTTCTTCTTCATCCATAAGGAAATGGGGTTAATGACTCGCAGGAGAGTGTGCAGGATCTCATAACGGGGATGCACGGTAAAGAAAATTCACTGAAAGCTGAGTTAGGCGTACAACGAGCACAAAAGATTTTACACATTTTGTATAACAGTATGGCATGCCCTCGACATGATTTGTGCATGTCTACACGGAATGTTTAGCTCCCAACATTAAGTCACGTCCATTACAACGGTTACCATAAACTTGGCACGGCGGGGAAGGGGGACGTGGTTCGCCCCCCCCCCCCCCAATATGGTATGTTCATTGTCGGGGGTATGTATGGGTATGTCGGTATATGGTATGTCGGGGGTATGGGTTGGGGGTATGTTCATTGTCGTGTTACTGAGAGTTTTTACGCTCAGTTTATATTCGGATTTGTTCCATTGCTAAGTGCTGTGAGTGACATATTTCGGTTCACAAGAGAAACGCTTTGCAGTGGCTGACATTTAAGAAAGGGAAACATACTGAAAAGTTGATGAAAATTCCAGGTCGCTGCAAATTCCCAAAGTCCATCCGGTCTACAAGTTCACGTACTACTGCCACGAGGATGATCACAATTTTGTCTCATGTCTCTTACGGGCGACCTGAAAGGCCACATGTGCTCCATGCTGTGCGAAGGTCTTGCACTCGGACAGGTTCAATGTGGTGAAAATTGCAATTGCTGCTCTTGCCGTTACCAGGTGGCTGCCTGGAAAAAGCGGACGAATGGAACGCTCATACGGAAGTTTTGATACCAAACTTGCTGTTGCTCGTGCGTGCTGTGTTTTCATGTTATGTTGGAATGGACTGACAAGCGAGGCATTCAAATGCATTGTTATGAGCATGTTTTGTTTTTCCTGGATGTGATCAGAATAGATTTGTAAACAAGGTTTGATGGTGAGCGCGTTGGACATAAAAGCCTTGTACATGGATCGAAGTGGATCCTGAAAATTAAACACATGACAACGAGTTTTAAAATATTTTTAAAGATGGGCCAATGGGGCAAATACCGCCCCCTAGGTAAACACATCTTGACTTCAGACACTATTTGTCACATTTCGGGAGCTGAAACCAATTGCAAATCTGAAAACCCACCCCAACCCCGCTTTGCGTAAATCGGGGTGCATGTATAGAGAGAGAGAACAAGATAGATGTCGAGGAGTATCATGCAACCAGCAGCGGCGACTTTACCTTCGGAACTGTTCTGATTTCAAGCTTTTGCAGGGAAGATCCGATGCGCCGCCGGATATCCCAAGTCCAGACATTGGGCGGGGCATCGGATCACCTCCCCCCCATCCCCCTACCTGGGCCGTAGGGTCCAGATTCCGGACCTCATGTCACAGCTTCGGTTTGGTTCCGTCATCCGGTTAACATGTGGCGTTAGATCGCTTTGTTAGTGGTCAGCTGACAATGATCTGTAATAATGAATGATGACCTCATCGTCCATTCCCCAACAGAAAACATTCCTCGTCCGCCAGTTCGAGAAGATCAGGGAAGTTTGGTCACCAGAAAGTAATGCCGGCAAATAACATTGAATTTTGACTGAAAAAGCTCTGTTGGATGCACTGCGCGACTTCTGCTTCCCTCCCCTACACACCCCTGGTCAACAGCGCCATATGGCAAAATGGCGATGCTAAAAACCGTGGACACATTTCAAGGAAATCCCCCTACTTTTCACGAGTACGCTCGGTGGGACTGCCAGTACCGCTTTTTGAGGTTGTTTCTACTGACGTAAGCCATAGCTCACATCTAGCCCTGAAGACAAAACGAGGTCCAACTCCACATTTCAACCCGCTGGGCTAGTTTGAAGTCTCAGGTTCCTTTGCAAGCAGCCATTCATCTGATGAGACCCTACGCCTACCCAAGGACACTCCGCTTGGCTCAGCATGCTTGGTTTTGAGATGAGTTTCAACCGCACAGAACACCTCAGCCGATCATTGCATTGATTCTGATTCGCCGTTGGGGCCACTGCTACTCCTTTGGAATAGTATGTTTGTGTTTCCCGAGAGTGAAGGAGAGTACGAACTGAGACAATAATGTGACCGGTTCCTGATGGTGGTAATTTACGCTCGTAATCGCTCATCTTGCAAAAATGCGTGTAGGTTTCCGGCGATGTATCATGCAAGTTGATTAAACCATGTTTGAGCTTTTATTACACACAACAGACACGGACAAATACAATAAATATCACGCAGCCTAACTCAGGAAACATTTAATACTTCGGGGCGGGCTTGTAGGGGGCCGGGGCCGGCTTGTAGGCAGGGGCGGAGTGGTACTCGGGGTACTGGGCCTCTCCCTCGTAGGTCACCTCAGCGTTGAATCCGTCGTAGTGGTCAGCGACGTAGTTCACGGTCTGGACACGGCCGTCGGGCAGAGCCACGGTGTAGGAGCCCTGGGTGTTGTGGCCATCGCTCTTCTCGTTCTTGGCGAAGTTGGTGCCGGTGTAGTGGTCGTTGACGGCGTAGTCGTAGGCGTACGGCTTGGGCTCCTCCTTGTATTTGGGCTCCGGGTGGTAGGGGGCCGGCTTGTAGGGGGCCGGGGCGGGGCGGTATGAGGGTGATTCCGGGGCGGGGGCGGCGGCAGCGACGGCCAGGACGGCGGCAACAACGAAGACCTGTGAAATCAAAACAGCGGGCTGTGGTCAGAAAACCAAGTAATATACATACAATATTTATACCAGCCACCGATTTTTCTGGGCTGCCCTCTGAGTTCCTTTAACATCGCATCGCAAAATAGATACACGTGGTGTCGTGCGTTCGTTATTTCAAAGATACCGATTAACGCAAAATATCAATGCGTGTATTCGTGGGCATTTTAAATGCTTGATAGGGGTGCAAAGGTGGAAGGATACAAGGTGAGGGAGAAAGACAGAAAGAGGATGGGAAATGTGGCATTGATTTAGGTGATTATGGTAGCCAGGGAGAGGAAAATTACAGACAGTGAAGAGCCGGGGATTCACCATGAAGGGACCGCGACAACAAAGAACCGTTATCGACGGAGAGCCAAAGAAGGAGAGAGAGCTTGAGGCAGACAGAGAGAAAGAGAGAGAGAGAGAGAGGGGGGGGGGAGAGAGAGAGGGAGAGAGAGGGACACAGACGACAGCACAAGATCGATTCGCGGCGATCGGGGACTCCTCTCGACTCACCTTCATGTCTGGAGCTGGTGCGTTTGGTAGCGCAACTGATGTCTGGCCGAAGCGAGCGGCCGCCTTTTATACGTGGGACCAGCTGTCGCCACGCCGCGGTCACGACGGCCCTGAGGCGCTTGGGTCACGGACCGCCAGCCGTGCCTCGGGCGCCTGCGCTCTGGCGGCCTCCCAATCACGGGCCAGGCGGCGACCGCTGCGCGCCGCGGGAGGCGCGACCTGTGTCGCCCCCGCTGACCCGGGGTCCCTTACAGAGGTCTTGATCGCAGTCCTCCGGGTTTAGCGCAATCGGACGGGCGCTTGGTTAAGCAGCCTTGAGCGCATCTGTTCGACGAGACCGGGCCAGATGTCGAATGCGTGAGACGCATTCGGCGTGTCGGCTCGTTTCCTAACCCTTCATGTATCGCAGCCAAGTTTCGAACCCTCTGAGACCAGATCCCGTACCGGAGCAAGTGCTGCATAGAGAATCGATTGCGGAGAAACTGTGCTGCCGAAAGTCACGTCATTTTTGCACTCGGCAATATCACATCACCAAGTAATCTGAGGTCAATTTGTAATTGGCCGAAAACGGGGAAGCTGAAAAAATGTATGTATGCATGTAGCAAAGGAGAGAAGTGGAAGCACACACACTTACATCCATTCACCAGAATATCATAGATGCACGCAATATGTCACGCACACAGGTATTCCTAACTGAGCACAGCCGTAAACTGCTCAATCTAATACCCTTCTCACTTACATATCACATGCAAGAATGTGACCTAAGCACATGCAAGAATGCGACTTTGAACGTCAGCTGGTGATGATCGCCTCGATAACAGGCCCGTGAACATGTGCACCTTATTTACGTCATCAAAAACGCAATGCTGCATAATGAACACTCCACCGCTGCTTCGCTGTCATGATTGCAACTGGTCTCATAACATGTTTCAGATGACTTGCAGCGTACCAGGCAATTTGGGAGGCGTTCGCTGTTTAAGCCCATCTGGCTGGCTTCAGTGAGTGGACCGAGAGCAAAAGTAATAGCGAAGGGACGCTGACTAAAAGTGAGATGACCCAACCGCTGCCGGCTGGCTTGGCACGCGGCCAGCGCGGCTGGACGTGAGCTTTCCATTCGAGTGCGTTGATCACATTCAGCCTAAACTTTGCGCGTGAACGTTACTACTGAATTCTTAGAACGTAGTTCGCTGGCTTAGGAACCATGCAGGCCGGCTGCCAACAGTCACGAGGGGTGAATGACACGTGCAAGCAGTTGGAGAGCAGACGTAATGTAGAGTCCGGCTGGATGATTAAGGGACACGGCTGGGCCTGACGCAGCAGGTGCCAATCGTCTGCATTTATGTTTTAGCCAACTTTGAAAGGTCTTTCACAACTTGTCTTGGAATGTGTGAGTGCCTTGGGAATCTGTGTTTGAGCGTTTGTGTTTCTAATTATCTCAACATAACACGTTTTGTTGCAAATACTTTCCTTAAGCCTTAGTAAAATATTTTGCAATTCATGGTCATTACTCTCGTGAACAGTAAATACTATTCCATAAGCATTCCTTTACTTTAATTGGAAGTCAACCATATTGAAGGATCTTTTTCTCGGGAGTGAATTGTCCTTTTTCTAGATAGAACAGCAGCTTACCAAGAACGGTACCACATTTTTCTGACATACCATAGGCTTTTGTGAAGACAATAGCGTTGATCTACCAGGCAGCTACGCCAAGGAGACCATGCATAGAAAATCCCTCGAATCCCTAGATATTCTCAGAACAGTTTAAATGGAGACATCCAATACACCAATCGGTTCCAGGGCATTGATGCTGCTCAACTGTCGCCAAATTTTAATCATCAGCGCATCTGTCTGCTGTTCTGCACCTGCTCCCTGAAGTGCCCAGATGAAGGCCAAGTATTTCTGCCCGCGTCACGCGTCTGGGCAGACGGCGTCAGCTCCGATTGTAACCTTCGCGGTCACCGAACGGGCAATCCTCAGACGCTTCGCTGCATAAAAACTGGAGCACCGGGAGGCGTCGGCATCAGTGTCGCGAAGCCAGTCATTGGCCAGACATGAAGGTAACGTGTAGGGCTCTCAGTGTCTGACTGACTGATGACAAGGTCCGCGAAATTGTGAACGAAATGACGATGGAGAATGCCGGGAGGTCCGGTTCAGCGGTGGTCCCACTATTCAGGTCATGTCATGTGCCTTGCATAAAAGCATTGTGTTCTGTGGAGAAATCCGCTGCTTGCGTCAGATTTTGACCGTAGCCGGATTTCTTCGGCAAAAAAGCGGAGGAGTCTTTCTGGTGAGCTTTTTAGATTAAAGGCGATCGGGCCGTCATTTCAGATAACGAACTTCATACAAAAATTGACGAGAGGTTGGACGCTGACAAGCAGTGAATGGCGGCGTCAAGATGATGAGTGCTCACATGTGGTTCGACATTTCCAGATCCTCATCGCCGCCTCCGTCCTGGCCGCCGTCATCGCAGCCCCGACCGCGCAGTCACCGGCATATCACGCAGCACTGGTCTATAGTCCGGCCCCGGCGCCTTACCGGCCCGCCCCGGCACCACACCGGCCCGCTCCGGCCCCCTACAAGCCCGCTCCGGCCCCCTACAAGCCCGCTCCGGCGCCCTACAAGCCCGCGCCTGCTCCCTACCGCCCGGCTCCGTCCTACAAGCCGGCCCCCTACCATCCGGCCCCCTCCTACAAGCCGGCCCCCTACCACCCGGAGCCCCAGTACAAGGAGGAGGCCAAGCCGTACGCCTTCGACTACGCCGTCAACGACCACTACTCGGGTGCAAACTTCGCTGCCAACGAGAACAGCGACGGCAAGCAGACGTCCGGCTACTACAAGGTGGCTCTGCCCGACGGCCGTGTCCAGACCGTGAACTACGTCGCTGACCACTACGGCGGCTACAACGCCGAGGTCACTTATGAGGGAGAAGCCCAGTACCCGGAGTACAAACCCGCCCCTGCCTACAAGCCCGCCCCGGCTCCTTACAAGCCCGCTCCGGCTCCCTACAAGCCCGCGGCGGCACCGTACAAGCCTGCTTCGGCTCCGTACAAGCCCGCCCCTGTTCCGTACAATCCCGCCCCTGTTCCGCACAAGCCCGCTCCGGCTTCGCACAAGCCCGCCCCTGCTCCGTACAACCCCGCCCCTGCTCCGTACAATCCCGCTCCGGCTTCGCACAAGCCCGCCCCTGCTCCGTACAGTCCCGCCCCTGCTCCGTACAATCCCGCCCCTGCTTCGCACAAGCCCGCTCCGGCTCCGCACAAGCCCGCCCCGGCTCCGAACAATCCCGCCCCTGCTCCGTACAAACCTGGCTATACACCTCTTCCTACACATGCGCCTGTTCCCACCTACAAAGCCTCTACCACCTACGCGCCAGAACCTACTGAACAGCCTCAGTCTACCTACACGTCCGGGGCCACCGACAAGCCAGCGGCGAGCAGTGAATCTACCCCCGTGTACGAAACCAGCCCTGAATACTAAAAGTGCCCACTTGAATGCGTGCATCAGGGAAATCGTACATATTGTGATACTCAGTGTGCTTGTAAGTTAATCGTGTGCCATTCGTGATGTTTTGTCAATATATCCTGAGCCGATTGTGGAGCTGTAATCGCAATCGGCGATAAGTGAATGCTGTTGGAGATGGTGCATAGCATGTATGGTATTGCGCGTGCACCTTTCGCCATTCTGAAGGGTTTGTACAGTAGGCTTCGCGCTCAGGGCACATGGCAAGCCGTCTGTTTCATGCGCTGGGAAACCACCACTTCAGCAGTGTGGTTCCTGTTCACTCAAGTAGTGTGGTTCCAGTTCACTCAAGTAGTGTGGTTCCAGTTCACTCAAGTAGTGTGTTCCAGTTCACTTCAGCAGTGTGGTTCCAGCTCACCTCAACAGTGTGGTTCCAGTTCACTTCAACAGAGTGATTCCAGTTCACGTTAGCAGGGCGGTTCCAGTTCACTTCAGCAGTGATGCTACAGTTCAATGGATGATTTGTCTCTACTGATCATGCAGTGTAATGGCAGCACGAGCCTGACGAGTGTTGACCTTTCCAAATCGTTTAGCCCAGCCGTGCAAACATTTGCCCGCATCGTCGATCTGCCCACAAACCCTTGTGCCCGCATCACCGAGCAAATTTTATGTACGGAGAGTTTCTAATCTCTTTCATGTGTCCTTTTAAATTAGGTGTAATGTGTCAAGCTTTTGAGTTGCGAAAAAGCCGTCGTTTTCAGCCGTCCACGTCCAGTCGCCATTACAATGTATGACCTGCGTACGGGAGGTTCACCTGTGTGTCCCTGCATAGCCTGTTTTACAGCATTCGTCCGACAGCACGAAAGCATTCATGTTATTCTACGGTAATGTAGACGTATTTGGTCGCCATGTTTCTCCGTGGTCCAGAGGTTTTAAAACTATATTAAGTTCATTCATCGCATTAGCGGCAGCGTTACAGGCAAGGGTACGGCAATCTTGAGTCATGAGACCAGGATCACGCTTTGTGTGTGTAGGATAAACGGGACGATGCAAATGTGAAAGCTGTCAAATGTACGATGGCACCATGATGATGATGCCGAAAACCAAAAATAAGCAAGGCCCCTTTGGTAACCGATCACAAGAACTCTTATTAGTGGGCTGGGAAATGTACCACTTATAAGAATTTAACATTTGGACGCCAACTGACTCCATTCACGAGAGAGAGAAAGAGGGAGAGAGAGAGAGAGAGGGAGAGAGAAGGAGAGGGAGAGAAAGAGAGAGAGAGAGAGAGAGGAGAGAGAGAGAGAGAGAGAGTAGAGAGAGAGAGAGAGAGAGAGAGAGAGAGAGAGAGAGAGAGAGAGAGAGAGAGAGAGAGAGAGAGAGAGAGAGATAGAGAAGACGAGAAGAGAGAGAGAGAGAGGAGAGAGAGAGAGAGAGAGAGAGAGAGAGAGAGAAAGGAAAGAGAGAGACGAAAAAGAAAGAGCGGGGCAAAGAGAGTGAAAGGTAGAAATACATTTGCAGGTATTGTTATATGCAATGGAACATAAAAGGTGTATCAGGTTTTTGCAGCAGTTCGATTCGGCAATGAAGTCCTTCGGTAGCTCCGATAAGTCATAGATAAGTTTACAAGTGATCTTTTATAACTTTATAACATTTATCACTTATAACTTATAACTTATTTAACATTTATATATTAGATAACTAACGTTTGAAGGAAATGCGCTCCCCGTTTTCAAAGCAATGCGGTACAGTCGGACACGAAAACACAAGATATTTTAAAATATGAAAAACGATCTACGATATAAAAATAACCGCTCCTCATCAGCCCATCAGATTGCACATGAGAGTATCAGGTCAAGGTATAAAAAACACTTCACCAGCCAGTCTACTTTACCATCCTTTTTTACTCCGTGATGAGCTCCAGACACTGACCACCTCGTTGTCATGGTGTGACGGAACACTTCCCGGGGTCAGCTGGTGGTTGACCTTGACAGTGACCGGACGCGGCCGCGCTTGCTCCAGCCGGAGGCGGGGCAAGTGCCAGCGGGTCGACTGAGCGGTGCGCGTGGGAGGTCGGGTGGCAACAGCGGCGATCCGTCATGATGCAGTAAAGTGACGACAGGTAAATCATTGCGGCTGCGGGTGCTAGCGCTGGCTGGATTTCCACTTTTGAGATGCTACGGTATTGAAACTGTTTCTGGAGATGGCCCAAGCCTACAACGGAACGAATTCTGCAGATTTCGAATAGGTTTTGAAGGCGCTGTAGCCTACAGAGCCCACGACAGCAACACGAGCAGAAGCCACAGGCAGCCGTTCCGGAGACGGCGAAGGCTGTGGAGAAAAAGAGACGCAAACGGCGAGCGTCTGGTGGGAACAGCCTCAGAAAAGTCGAATTGCGTCACATGGAGGGAACCTCAATGCTGAGATTGTAATGGTCAGTCAAAAGGTGATTGAATCTGGCATAGGAAAGGTTATATTTTTATAGACAAACCATTTAAAAGTATGCAACACAGAACCACGATTCTCTTGTTCGTTGGCACGAACAGGGACGCAGAATTAAAACGATTCACTGAGCGCCTCCGGTGCAGTGACATGATGACTGAGAATCTGAAAGACCAATTGAAAACATGAACCACAGGATATCTTCCATAATCGCCACATATTCCGATTTCGGGCCCGGAAGTCCGAAAGTATTGAAGAAAAGCCTTCGGAGATTTTGAGAAAGCGACTCCGGGACGTGTAGTTGTTGAGCCAGGACTTTCGCGTCGTTCATAAAATACAAAGTGAGGGGAAGTTATTTATAAGTTTGTTCGGAGGGACGTTCGTGATCTCCCGCACGAGCGGTGGCTCGAGCTGATCGGCCGCGGCCGACCGGGTTCCGGCCGCAGCCGGACAAGTTCAACTGATCAACAACAGACTGCAACACTGTCCCCGAACCAGTTCTTAACTGCAGGAAGCCGAGGATCACCAACGCACTGCTGAGCACTAGGAACTAAGAAAACGGTGGCAAAGTTTACAGCGTGTTCTCCCGGCGAAGTTTGGTTCTCTATAACCTGGGACATGGAGGACAGATGGTGTGCGCGGACGACGAGGAGAGGCTGCAACGGCTGACCTGCCAGCGGGCGGCCGTCGCTCCTCCGGCAGCGAAGGGCGGAAGTGGCCGGTCGGCCCCGGCCCTAGGCCAGGTGATCCCGCCGCTTCCGCCACCTGAACGGATACTGCGCGGTGGGGACAGACTGGACGTGGCCGTCCTTGCTGTTGAAGAGGCACCCTGTAGCGACGGCTGGACGCCCGGTCGCCATGTGATGCGTTAGCCTTCTCCGCAGATCGACGGTGCTACGCTGCTGTTGTCCTGGTGTGCTGCATTAAAGTTGCCGCTCGAAAACCGAACATTCCGTTTGCGTGTGATCATCGCGTGCCTTTTTGTGCCTTCTTTTTGTTGCGCAGTGAACCTGGTTCCTTACAGTGATTGATACAGTTCAAAATTCGACAGGAATGTTGGGTCTTTGGTAGGTGACAGCAGAACAGTATTCATTTTACATAGAATATAAGGCTAGAAAAGAAAACACCGCGCACAGACCGACGTCAATACGCCACTTTCTTATAATTTTATTTATATATTATATCTTCAGTTATGTTTTACATTCATTTGTTCGCTTTATGATATGTTGCAATGCATTTATTATATTACGTGTGTAAGGCAGCTTCTTTATTGTCTTGACTAATTCTTGAGTTGTAATAAAGCAGAAATCTAACGCTGTCAAAACGGAAATAACGCAGCCGAAAGTGAAAATGTTATGGTGACAAAACTGCAAAAACGGAAACAAATTACGACAGACTAGACCACATTACAAGAGACCATCTTAGTAAGACGAAAATCGTATCGCTTAGTATCGGTACGTGCTCGCTAACGCCTGCAGAGTGAGCCTGTGTAAAACACATGTCGAAATGTTGACGTTTCGCTGCATGAACAGATTGGACCGCAAAATGTTTACAAGCATAGTACCTTTGATAAGGAAACTTTTAACAGGTGACAAATATGACACAAACTATACTATATTAGTGCTGACGTCACAAATGAGTGGTGACACCTTGTTTTCCAATGCCTCTCAGATCAGTGTCTTTCACAGACTTTACAGCCAAAATTCACTTCACAAATTAGACAACATAAAACACCGAATGATCAGGCTCATTACCAGTCGTAAAAATCGTGGCTGGCCACAACATCTTGCGACAAACGTGGTCAGTTTGCTATGCGGCGTTTAAAGCGTCGTGTCATTTGAGACGGTTTGGCTCGAATGCTTGCCACAAGATAATGAATTGGGTTCAGTGCGTGTTCAGTGCAAGGCTGCGGGCTGCCTTTGGTTGCGTTCATGTCGTGAGAAGCTGGCTGGCTGGAATAACGTAGCCAATCGTCAGTTGTTTTTTAAGGCGCTATGATACTTTTTTAGGATCCACCATGAAGGACGTCGGGTAATAATGCTAAAAAGCCCTGCCGATCTAGCAGTATTGTTTTTTGTGAATACCCAAACTGTACCTTCAGAGGCCAACGGAGGACGTTGAG